ATCAACAAGCTCAGCGTCTTAGCCATTGAGCCACCGTGTCCATTATGTATTGGTCTTTAGGGTGCAGCAAAACTAATCGATCACAGTGAGGGTGGCAGGTCCAACGTGTGTAAAAATTAGTATCAAATAAGTTCTAATAGTCTGGATGAGCTCCCTGCAGCAGGAAACATTGGCAGGAAATGCACAACCCTTCAATTAATTGTTAGATTCACTTAGTCATTTATAATTAATCTTTATTTGTAGTTTTGGAATAAACGAGCACATGCTTTATACAAGCTGTCCCTCATTGTGCAGGAAATACGGGGATACTGAATGCATTTGCTTATTAGTTTTCAATAATTTTTACCAAAGCTCTTTGATACAAAGGATAGCAAGCATCCCAAAAGACAGAAAAGAGGAACAGGTGGTTGAGTTAAAATGTAGAACATTTTCCCAGAGTCAGTTGAGTCCTGAGCCAAAATTTGTACCAGAGCCATAAATTTCACACAATGGAAAATCTGTGTTTCTCTATTTGCCTCTCTATCACTAAGGCTGATAGTTAAATAATTTTATGGTCTTTCCTTTATAATGTTGGAAGAAATGTCCATCTGAAAGATGGTTTAATGGTGGGCACATAGTAACATAGTTTGAGATCCTGGGCAAAAAAAAAAAAAGCATCTCTCCAAGCAGTCTCCATGTTTCCAGTGTTTTTTCCCCACTTGGTAATGAACCCAGATGGATATTTCTTCCAACAAGTATGTTTGTTTCCAAAGTTTTAATAAGGGAGTTCAGAGCTAGTCCTCTTTATGCTTGTTGACCCTATGAAGGGCTGTAAAGGTGTCAGATAAGGATCTACCTTTGTAAAAGTCTACTGTAGTGCAGGGGTGTCCAACCTTGGAAACTTTAAGACTTGTGGAATTCAACTCCCATAATTCCCCAATCAGCATTCTGGGGTTTGGTCCACAAGTTGCTAAAGTTGGACACCCTGGTCTAGTGGTTGCTCCTTTTTCCAGCTTATCACAGGACAGAGATGCCTGTGTTGCTTCAGGTTGCTTAGCTGTTCTTTCTGTCATAGAGAGAACCTTTGCCAGGATCACAAGATCTGTGCTCTACTTGTATGCTGCTATTGTTTATTG